ATTGAATAGTTGGGCTTTGAATCTTTCATGGGGGCCATGTCTGGGACATTCACACCCCCTCTGTCTGATCAGTAACTGCTTTATGGGATTTTTGTGGCATGGAATATCTTGCTCTTCTGATGGGATGAAAAGCATCTTTTTATTGCACTTCCAGCCTGTTACTGGGAGCTGGGGGGAGATGACACGTGCTCAGGGTCCCAAAGGTCCCAGGGCAGGGAAGGGGCACACACTGGTGTCTCACTGCCTGCTATGCCTTTCTCTGAGCCACCCAGCAGCCCTTTTATTTCCTTTGAAAACAGGAAACAAGGCAGTGAAGATAATCTGAAATGCAACGACTTGCCCAACGTGGGAGAGGAGGAACTTCTTTCATGAACATCGACTTTATGGTTCTGTTGAGCAACTCAATCCAGGGCACGTCACAAAGTGTGCAGCTGGGGCTGAGCAAGGTTGACAGAGCCCACGCCAAACACAGCATGACACGGCGCTATCTCAGTATAATGCTGGATGTAGAGCTCAAATAGCAGCATGTTATCAGACATCCGACTGTTTGCCATAAACATGGAGCATCTCTGACCACTTGGACCGCTGACTTCTTGTGGGAGAGGCGCTGGCTGGTGCCACAGAGGTGAGCTGGTCGTGCTGAGCAGCGACAGAGCTTTGCACAAAAAAAAATGAACAACCCAAAGCAGTCCAACAAAAATGCATGTTTGGAACTGCTTTTAGCTGGTTTTAATGCCAAGTAATTTCCAGGGACTAAGGCCAGCGTCCCAGAGGTCTGTGTGCCCATGGTGGGCACACTCAGAAGGGTGAAGCTTTTGCCAAGTGGATCCACAGCAGTAAAACCACACGTGTGCACTTTTGAGAGTTCACGACCTACCGGGAATGTTGTTGCATCTATTCCTTGTCCTTCTGGTTTGTTTTTAATTGACACCTTTTTAACTGCATGGGAACAAAGCAAAAACCCACCCTTTCAGCTTTTTAAAGAATGCCTACCTTTGTGAGCCAAGTTGTATTAAGCAGCATCTTCAGGACGTTCAGAAAGTGAGGTTAATTACCTCCACAGGTAATTAACACCTTTCCAAAGGCCTTGGTGTGACCAGGACTTGGTAAGTTAGGTATTCAGTGTATGAAAGGAAAAGGTATTTAAGGGCTTAAGTTCAGTTTGAACTATTTTTGCTGCAGAAATATGAGTGAAAGGTGGTGTTTAGCTGAATGTTTTGAACAATAGAGGAAGCACTAACAGTTTGTTTCTAAATATTTTACTTGATCTAGGTAGATATATTATTAAATATAAAATTCAGGGTAAAATCCTTCACTTCCATGTACATTACATGGTTTACTACAACTAAAAATAATACAACTTATGCTGTTTTTTAAGTATAGACTTAGGGCTTGCTTAGAATCTTAATGAAATATTCAGATTAGCTAGTAATTTTCAAAGAAACTTTTGTTTTCCCAACTCTTAATCTGGATTCTGGGGCCAATGCTATGTATTTTTGCCAGTTTGTTACCAGTAATTTGTGAATGCCTGTGGATCAGAGGCTTGTTAGTACATTAAGTATATACCTAATTCATAGATTGTTTCTTATGAAGAGCTCTTTCACCTTCAGTCAGATTACTCTGATTATTTGTGGTGCTTGTAAAAAAATAATAACCTATCATGTGGTGGGAGAGACTCTGGTGTCCAGACACACTTCCCCAAGTTCTCTGTGCTTGGACAAAGCTGGAGAACAGCAGACTCCTCCTGGAGAGGAGTCGGGGTTTGCCTGAGGAAAGGGGTCACGGTAAGTACAGTTGTTTAGGGGATGGAGTGTGGGACTGGGAAGGGGGGAAAAGTCTGATCTCTTCTCAGTCTGATGTGGTTGTGTGACCTTGAATGAGGCATTTAAAGTGATGGTGTGCCTGACAGAGGGGGAGGATTCGAGTCTCCCAAGCTTGTAAGGGACTGCTAAGGCTTAGTTCTTTGCCCTCAGGAAGAAGGCACTAGGAGACACCCAAGTATTGTGATTAATGGCCTGCTAACCCTGGCCATGGATGCCCTGCCTTTAGGAAGTGACTGTCCCCTTGTCTTCCTTGATCCTGGGCAGCACAAGCAGCAGTGCTCTGAGGTCCTTGGCCCCACTGCAGTCAGACCTGGCCTGGTAATTCCTGGTTAGGACGGGTGTTTGTTAAAGCCAGGACAGAGTTAACAAGGGTGCAGGTGCTTACACAAACTGTCCCTTACACCTTTTGACCACTTGAAGTGATGTTCCCCCTAAATTGCAATTTATTATGGAAACATTGTGCTGCTGGCCTGTCTCCAGAGCCAGTGAAGACAGTTTGTGGTTTAGGAGCAATACTATGGAGTTTGGAGCCATAAGACACGCACTGTTTTCCTCCCGTTTTAGTCCAAGGCTATGCCAAAGCCCTGCAGCTTCAGCTATGGGAAAACCAAACAGGTAACCTGGGGGCCAGCCCTGCTCCAGCTGCCTGCTCCCCCTTTCCTAAACAGGACTTTTCATTGTGGAAGTGCGTGTGAGTGGGCAGCCTGGTTCTCTAACCCTGCAAATGGACTTGATCTGCCAAAAAAAAAAAAAAATTAAAAAACTAGGGGATTTGTAGTTAGTGCATAGCAATGTGTGGTGTGTTTGCTAGAGGTGTGTTGTAGAGATCTCTGTGCTGCCCATCTCTGGTTGTGATCTGCTGGGTGCCTCCTGAGACAGTTTACATTGACCACACAGGTTTGCCTGGTGCAACCACAGCTTCTCAACAGACTGAGCTGTACCAGCTCCTCAATGCCCCCCCCCCACAGGGGCCTCAGATATTCCCACAATCAGTGTCTTAGGGCCAGCATGGGCTCGGTTCTGAAGGATGTAAAGCTCAGCACTTCCCCAAACCGAGTGTCCCTCAGTGCCAGCTCCCCTGGGGCTGCAGCCAAAGGCACATTTCTGAAGGAAATGCGATGTAGATTTTTCTTGTTGGTCAGCTCTGTTGAAAGCACAAAGCCTTGGCCGTGTGAGGAAGATCCCTCTAAATGCATGACCTGTAGAGAAGCTGTCCTGTGTATATAAACCTGCTCAGTTCCCCAGCTGCTGTTCCTTAGTAGTAATGCTGGCTTTCTTCTTATAGTGAACATTTTGCTTGTGCCTTGGAACTGGGCTGTAGCTTGATTTCCCCAACTCCCTTCCTTTCAAGCAAGCCCAGTGCTGACTGGGAGCTTATTGCTGGGTACTAAGCCTTTTTGGCTCTGAAAGCACACAGGAAAGTGCTAAGGGGAAACCAGGCCTCTTGTCTGGGTAGTTTTTCATGGTGGTCCCCTCTTACCTATCAGGCAATTGATCTGTTTCTTTTCTAAGGTCCTGAAATATTGCTGATTTTTATACTGTTTGTTTAATGACCAAGGCTTGTGTTTCATTCCTACCCCTTTATTATGCATTTAACTTTATCAGGTGTATCAAGTTTAAATACTGTGTATTTACCACTTTTAAATTATATTACGTAAGAAGAAACAAAAAACAAACCAACAACTAAGTGTTTTTCCACACAGCTGTTCAAGCTTCACTGTACAATATTGAAATAAATGACATGCAATCAAACCCAGAGTTAGTTGATCAAGTGGAACCATTATCCTGTTTGACTGGTCTTTATCAAGCTGTGAGAGTTTGGTTGTTGGAAGAGGAATCTGAAAGCACCTTCCTATGTTACTGAAGTCTGGTGCTCTACCACTACTGGGCATCTTGGGGATCTAGGATAAGTCCACAGTGGCTCAAGCCACTGCATAATCCAAATGGAGCATTCACAGGCACAGACTGCAGCACTGACTCTTGGAAAGGCACTGTTTGAGTTGGGACACAACTTAGTGCTCAGCAGTAGCAAGCACATAAAGAATAAAACAAGATGGTAATGCTGTGGTATACACACTGTGCTGCTGGAAAAAGGCAGCAAAGCCCCAGCCAGGATGCTGGAGGTATGGAATAGATCCCAGGGCTCTGTAACACTAGAAAAGGCTCAGGGAAAGGGAAGAGGTTTGTGAGTCAGTTGTGATCACTAGAGATGCTCAAGGCCATGTGAACATAAAAGCCCCCAAAATACACTTTAATCAAATTGTGTAAACCCATTAAATGCAGCAGCCCAGACACATGGTTGGTGTGGTGGCAAAAAGCCTGGGAGGTGTGCCAGGGAAGACAGATCTGTTCTTCCAAGTAATTTGTACCAGCGTGTGGATAAGGTCCCTAAAACCCAGGCCTCTAACTTACAAGTCTTTTCCCTTGGAGAGGGTTTTAATGCAACAGACACAGAGAAGGTGTCAGGAAAACTAAGGTGGAGCAGAAGCTGTAGTTGCAGCAGCACTTCTGCTGGGAGAATCAAGAGACAAAGCCCACAGAGCCCTGGCTTTGATAGCTCTCCACTGACAGATGGTGTCTGGGGAGAAATGAACAAGCAAAACCCAGCCTGCAGGACTCTAGGAGGGCTGAGAGAGGCTAATATTTTATTGAAGTAAAATTTAAAGTAGTACCATAAAAATTAGACAAAACAGAAAAAAAATATTCTGTTATCAGTGAGCCATTTATCACAGCACAGTGGAGCCAGACACTGCTTTATCTTTGTCTGTGGCCACTGGGGCTTGGAGACACAGTTAAATAGTAGGTGCAGGCTCAGCTAAGCTTCACAATCCTTCAGGACAAGGAAAAATGACTTGACAACAGCAAGGAGCTGCTTTCCCAAGGTTAGGCAACACCTGGCAGGGGCCATGTAAGGAAGAATCCCTGTCTGTTATCCTGTGCTCTCTGCACAGGGAGCTCAGGGATAGAAGGACAGTCAAAATGACAATGTCCCTGTCCCAGGTGTGGCCAGAGCAGAGGCCTGGACGTCATGAAGCACAATTCTCCCTCTGTGCTTAGTGCAATTCATCTGGAAAGAACAGTAGGCAGGGAGCAGACCCACTTCTTCTCCCTGGGGGCTGGCTCCAGCCAGGAAAAGTAGTGAAGAGTAGCAAAGATGGTCCCTTTCTCAGTTTGGTTCCCCACTTCCTTCCAGTGAAGAGGGGGTGGTCTCCCAACAGGGACAAGTAAGGTTCACAGCAGCAGTTCAGAGCAGCAGTTGGTGCCCAGCAGCAGGAGCTCAGGAGTTGGTTCCGTATGTCTCACCGACTCCCTGCAAGGATCAGAGATTACAGCTCTCTGCCAGAAAACTCTTCTTTTTCCCTCTTCCTCTCACACGAACCCCCCTACACAGGCAAGCTACTGTTACTCAGACTTTACTTTTCCAGTGCCACAAGGATTCAGAAATCCACCCTCAGCAGCAACACTTGCCCCCAAGCACAGGGCTGTAGGGCTGAGCTCCACTCTCAGCACCAGTAAAGCACCTCCCTAAATCCTATTAACCAAGCAGAGCATTTGGACCCTGGAGGGAGCCATAACTGTGGCTGGTCTCAGAAAATATCAACCCACTGATGGGTTTGTTCACAGCCACAGGAACCCCAAAAGCCAAGACTGAAGGATTTGATGAGAACAGAGCCATTCTCAACAGCTCTCAGAAGGCAACTGCCAATGACTGCAACCCAGAAAGGAGGTGCAGTAGGAGCATGACAAGTTAAACATGTATTTTTCTCTCCAAGAGTGGTTGCCCAGGAAACATGACAATATTTGTTTCTAGTGCTCCTCCCTTCAACAGCCTTGAGGTAAAAATTAGCTTCTCTGAAAAAGAGAAAGTTTCCTAAAAACTGTGGTTTAAAATCCTTATTTGATGTGGACTTTCTACATCCTGTTTCAGAATCTCTCCAGAGACAGAGAAGGAAGCAAGTCTGCCTTTCCCCTGCCTCCATTGATGCTTACCAGTTCATAATCCTCCACATATTTGTATTTCTTTTCCCGATAGTAGTACCTCTTCTTCATGCAGTACAGAACAACAATGTCACACAGCACTGTTGCCTAGTGGAGATTGAAAGAGTTTAGGACAATGATCCTCAGAACTGAGGCACTAATCCAGAACTGAGTCCAAGAGCAGACAGTGTCACTTACCACACCAAACAGCGCTAAGCCAGAGCCGATGTTAATCATGGTGGGAATTACATCAAATTTTCCTGCCTAGAAGACAGTTACAAGGCTGAATATATTTTTCAGCATCTCTGAAAGTCCTCACTACAACACCTCCAGGAACTGTCACCCTACCTTTCCAAACACTACGATATGAAAGCGGATGCCAAAAGCTTTGACAAGCGTCCGTGATTCAGTGCCATCACTATTCTTGTAGTATTTTGCAAACCTGGAGGAAAGATAGGTCAGAGCTTAGCTGGAAATTCTGAGGATGCTTATGTGATCATGCAACATCCAGGTGTGTTCCACATCCCAAGAGGATGGGCTGAACATTGGTACTTCCAGGCACAAACCCCAAATGGTGATTTCATGCAGGCAAGCACTTGTTGGAGAAAAGCCCAAAATAGGTGAATTTAAGAAGACAGTTATCACAAATCAGGGAACTTGCAAAGCATAGGAAAGGGAGAAAGTTGGCTGTAATAGGGAAGCAGAAGGACAAATGGGAAGAAATTCAGCTACACGAGAGCAGGGGAGCAGGCAGCTGCAAGGGACCAGGCAGCCACGAGAGGGCAGGGCCAGGAGCAGCAGCGCAGCTCGGCTGCCACACAGAGGCTGTTCCGTGTCCCGAACAGGGTGGCCGGCAGGCAAATGACTGGGAAAAGACATGAGAACAAATAAGTGAGGTCAGACTTACTCTGCCACGTGGTTGACTAAGCCATGAGGAAGCAGAGAAGAGGGTGGAAGAGAAGAGGAAGGATTGGTAAGGGGCTGCACCAAAGTCTGGAATTAGCAAGAGCACTTCAGATCTGGCTGTGATATCCTCCAGCCAGTCGCCTGACACCCCAACACCTGCAGGCCTGGCACCTCCCAAACACACCTTCTGCTGTCTGCATGACAGCAGATCCTCACTGAATTCATCCCAGGTCCACCAAAAGATCCCCTGTTCTAAGTGAGATTTTGTGATTCTAGAAACAACAAGCTGTGTTTCCTCACAAGCAGGAATCCTGCAAGGACTTTGGCAAGGTGGCCAATCCGTACTATTACAGTCTGAGCCTGGATGAAACCAGCTGCACTGGTGTTTTACTGGAGGTGCTTGGACTGTAATGGCCAGAATGTTTATGTGGTGGTGTATGCCATTAAATATGATCTTCAACTGAGAGAGACACTTTTAGAGGTTAGTTTTGCCCTCAAGCACAGTGAAGGAGATGCTCTGGTCTCCCACCTCCACCTCCCAGCCCCCTCAAATTCTGCCCTATCAACATAGCCTGAAACAGTCAGTTCTCCCACTGCCATGCCATGGCCCAAACAGCCACCCAAAAGCTGATGGAAACATGACTCAAGACACTCTGATGCAATCAGTGGAGCTTCACTGACCTCCCCCCTCTGCTGTGGTTTGCACACAGTGAGGATCCCACCCACTCTGTCTTACAGCACCAGCAGAACTCTCCAAGTGTTCTCCTGGTGCTCTCTAAGCACCATAGAGATCCCAAAAGTACCCACAACTGCCAGTGGCAGAGTGAGCCACAGGTGCCCTCACAGCCACGTTACCTGAAGTTGTAGCCAGGTGAGACGGTGTGGGCAGTGTCCTTGTTGTCGAGGCGCCGGAAGGAGTATTTTGGCACACAGTGGGAAGCAGCTCTGTCAAGGTTGCAGTCCCAGTTGATCTGCAGTGCCATGACTCCACCCTGCCAAGTGGAGGAGAGGAGAAGGTCTCTGTTAGAAGGCTCTCTGCTGACCAGGACTCTGATTTACTGGCTCTTGTCCCAGTCCCAGTTAAACACTCTTTCCCCCTGCTACAGAAGGGTCTTGTACATAACCCCACCCAAACCAGCCAAGGCCAATTATTTGTAGTAGAATTGACTCCAGGCCCCCTGGCCAGAGCAGCTCTCCATCCTGCAGCTACTCTGTGTTCTGTGGCTCATGCCACGAGGCAGAGCCACCTACCACTCCTCTTTTACAGAACTGAAGCCCAAGAGAAGGGTCTGTCAAATACCTCCACAGCCATTTCCTGGAAGTCCTGCCCTGCAGCTTCAACTATTTGCCCTAAACGAAAGATGGGGCAGAAGGGGTCTGTGTGGGCATCATAGATACAGTCCTTGAGGTAGGTGGAGTTGATAGTGGGGAGGATGTTTCGCCTACAGGGGAACAGAGAAAGAAGAGCTGTTGCATCTTCTTCCAGCCATCCAGCTCCCCTTTACAGTCCATGAGATCAGACAGGACAATGCTCCCCCCACTATTTACTTGCTGAAGTTGAACTTGCGGTACCAAATGTTGTTCTTCACCAGAAGGGTGAAGTTCTCAGCTGCTTGTAGGAACGCTGGCCTACAAAACAAGAGGAAGGGTAAATAAGTACAACACACTTTCACAAACTGTGTCCTTGCTGCTCATCTCTTCAGTTTTTCCCAACAGCACCTCAAGGGAGAAGCATCAGCTGCATCCCACCAGCCTCATCCCAGGAGGGCCACCACAGAGCAGGGAGACAGAGCACTCACTTGGGTATGTGACTGTCATCCTCCACAGGGCACCATGCAAGGACTTCACAGGTCTTAATGCTGCTGTTGTATGAAACACACTCCCCAGTCTGGATGCCTGGAAAGATATGTGCATGGAGGTACTACTAATCAAAACCAGAGGCAGTATTTGTCCCATGACATCTCCTCCCTCTATATGGTGAAAACAATTTTCTCAGGGCAAAGTGCCACTACCAAGACCCCCATTACCTTCCAGTGCACTTTGTAGTGAAATTTCAGAGAAAGGAGCATCAGGTCTTTTTCCTGAGCCAAATCCTCATCTATGTGAAATACTGCTTCAGGAACTCAAGGCCTTGAAAAAGCCCTCACACCGTTTGCTAACCCGCAAAGCCCACATCTACCCAGCATCCATCTGCTCTCCCCAAGTAGAAAAATTTGAGCTTCCCTTTCAGTTCTCCTATGTGTGAGCTAAGGGGAACAAGCAGACTGAAGGGAAGTGCTGCTTCCTTCACAGCAGGGAAGGCACAGCACAAAGGTATCACAACACAGACTGAAAGACCATTGCAGCAGGTTTCTTACCATTGCTGTGGGTGCTGACATATCCTGGAAAACAGCTGTTGTTCTTCACCTGGCACTCCGTTTTATCATCTGGCAGCTGGAGAGGAACAATAATTTCACTAAGCTCTGTGAACCCTCTCCCCCACACTTCCACCCACACGAGGCAGGATTAAAGCAGATCCTGCACCTACCTCTGGGCAGCGGCCTTGGCTCTGGTTCAGCGTCAGTATCACATTGGTCATGACAAACACAGTGTTCTCACCCTGAACAAGCAAAACAAGAAGGCAACTTAAGAGTGACAGACTGCAAAGAGCATCCAAGGCACCACACCAAATACCTTTGTTGACAGAGCCCAGGTGGCTCCACAGAAGGGACCTGCTTTGGACAGTGCTGGCGCAGCAATAAAGGAGCAGATTCTCATATGAATTGCTTGATGTTGCTGTGTTAAGCCAGAGGAAGAACTGTGGGACTAGAAACTCTTTCTGTCCTCCCACTCAGACCAAATTTCCTCATTCCCATTATGAAAACAGAGATCACACAGCTCCTCAGGGGAGCTGCAAGGCAGGACCAGAAACAGAGCTCCAGCTCCCTTTCTTTTTGCAATATATCAATTAGAAATTTGACCAGTCCTGGTTTGTTTCTTCAGGGAGCACCATTTTTGTTACTTTACTTTCATTACTTTCAAGTCTGTACGATTCCAGATCTGTTGTTTGCTTCTGCTCCAATGATATGCAAATATGAACACTCAGCCAAAATCTGGCTAAATCTGTCTTTTTTCTGCATCATGTGTCATGCAGACAGAGGGACCCACAACCAGCAGCTTGGCTGTGGCTGCCCATCCCAAAGGCCACCACACATGGCCCACAGAGTGCAGATTGCCACAGACACAGTCAATCAGTAACTACAGCAGAGCTTCCTGTTCAGTTCCGGATCAAGTGACTTGCACCAGGCTATTCCTGGTGTTTCTGCCAACAAGCTAACTTGGGTCCGTTTGCTTTAGAGCAGTAAGACAGAGGACATGTGGTTATTGTTGCAACTTTTTCCTGAAGCCTGCCAAGTTCTTCATCCTCTGCGGGGACCGGCACTGTTTAACAGTTTTGTGGGCAACGTGGACAGTGGGATCGATGCACGGTCAGCAAGTTTGCTGAAAACACCGACCTGTGTGGTGGGATGGCATTCAGAGGGACCTGGACAGGCTGGAGAGCTTGGCCTCTGTGAACCCCATGAAGTTCAACAAGGCCAAGTGCAAGGTACTGCATGAGGGTCAGGGCAATCCCAAGCACAAATACAGGCTGGGTGGGGAATGGATCAAGAGCAGCCCTGAGGAGGCGGCCTTGGGGGTGTTGGTGGACAAGAAGCTCAACATGACCCAGCTATGCACACTCACAGCCCAGAAATCCAACCCTATCCTGGGCTCATCCCCAGCAGGGTGACCAGCAGGTTGAGGGGAAGATTCTGCTCTTCTACTTCTCTCTCGTGAGACCCCACCTGCACTGCTGATTCCAGCTCGGGGCCACCAGAGCTGGACCTGTTGGAGCGAGTCCAGAAGAGGCCATGAAGATGCTCTATGGGCTGGAGTAACTCTGCTATGGAGATAGGCTGAGAGAATTGGGGTTGTTCAGCCTGGAGAAGATAAGGCTCCAGGGAGACCTTAGAGCCCCTTCCAGTACTTAAAGGGGGCTTATAAAAAGGAGGGAGAGGGAATTTTTACATGGGCAGGTAGTGCCAGGACAACAGGGAACAGTTTTAAACTAAAAGGGAAGAGATTTAGAAGAAATTCTTCCCAGTGAGGCTGGTGAGGACCTGGCACAGGCTGCCCAGAGAAGCTGTGGCTGCCTCATCCCTGGAAGTATTCAGGGCCAGGCTGGACAGGGTTTGAAGCAACCCAGGATAGTGGAAGGTGTCCCTGCCCATGGCAGGGGGTTGGAACTAGATTATCTTTAGGGTCTCTTCCAACCCAAACCCTTCTGTGATTCTACACAAGCACACACATAGATATACTTTTCTCAAAACAAACTTCCCCAGGGCTCGTGGTGCAGGTGCTCAGCATGATCTGTAACAAAGCAAAGCTGCTTTATTCTCTCATATCAAGGCCATGCTGGAGCTGAAGCTGCTCTGCCCTCAGTGGACTTTAGCAAAGCAGTAGCCGATTGCTAGAAAACCCTCCCTCTCCATGGGAAAGTGACTGATACCTGAGGAGGGATGACATAGTCGGCTACATCCCAGATCCTGGCTCCCAAGGTGGATGTGTTTGTCAGGGTTACTCCTTTCACCTTCGTGGTTACAGAACTGACCACGGAGTCTGTTTCCTGGTAACCCTTCTGCCACAGGAAGACCCACCTGCAAGAAACAACTGATAAGCACTATAAACAAGCACACATGGTCGGAATTTCTCCTTTTCCCATATGTCACCTGAAAGGGCCAGTCCAGATAGTTTTACAGCGTTTCCCTACAAAAGGGTCACAGGACAGGCAATCTCCTTTGTGGTTTTTAGGGGGTATTTTTTATTTTCAGAATGTTCTGCAGGGTGTAATTTGCTTTTATGCCCAGCCCCGCTGGGTGAGCGGCAATGACCCCCGGGGACGGTCCCGCTCCTGAGGGGTCCTGTCCTGTCTGCAGCCCCACAGTCCCAGTGAAGTCTGCCCATTAAGCAGTGACACCACCTCCGTGTCACCCTTCGGGGAGCTCCGAGCTCCCGACTCCCCTCAGCCCGCGCCCCCCCGACAGAACCGGGGTCCCGGGGCCCCCCCGCCCCTCAGCCCGCGCCCTGGGGGCTCCCAGCGCGTCCTCCCTCCCGGCGGCCGCTCCGGGACCCCCGCACTGCCCCGCCCGCTCACCCGATCACGTATGCGAGGATGGCGAGCTGCACCCCGCGGGTTGATGAGCCCCACTTTGCGGCTGCGGATCAGCACGATGCGGGGGTGTCGTACTCGAAGAGGAAGCTGTGGAAAGCCCCGCACGACGCCATGGTGGTGGCCGGAAGGGCGGGAGGCCGGCAAGGGCGGGCAGGCGGGACCGAGCCCTCACGGGCCGGGCCGGGCAGCCCCCGGTGCCACAGCGCCCGAGCCGCCCGCAGGGCGCTCCCGCAGCCCCGGGGCCGCCACCGGCTCGCTGTGGAGGGCAGCGGCGGCAGAGGCTGCCCAAGGCTGTTTGCACAGAATCACCGAATCCATTAGGTTGGAAAAGACTTCTGAGATCATCCAGTCCAACCGATGACCCAACACCACCACGTCAACAATAAGTGCCACGTCCAGTCTTTCCCTAAACACCTCCGAGGACGATGACTCCACCACCTCGCTGGGCAGTCCGTTCCAGTGTCTTGCTGTGAAGAAATTCTTCCTGATGTCAAATCTAAACCTCCCCTGGTGCAGTTTAAGACTATGTCCCTCTTGTCCTGTCACTTGTTACTTGGGAGAAGAATCTGACCCCCACCTGGCTACAACCTCCTGTCAGGGAATTGGAGAGAGCGAGAAGGTCCCCCCTGAGCCTCCTTTTCTCCAGGCTGAGCCCCCTCAGCTGCTCCTCATCACTCTCGTGCTCCAGACCCTTCCCCAGCTCCATTGCCCTTCTTTGGACTCCCTCCAGCACCTCAATGTCCTTCCTGAATTGAGGGGCCCAGAACTCAACACAGTTTTGGCAGGAGTAGAGATCCCCTAACACCAACTCGTATCTTGCATCCAGCTCAGGGCAAGGACCAAGCACCTGCCTCCAAAAGACAGCAGAGCATATTGAAGACCATCATGCTCCCATCCACAAGGAGCAAATCCTTTATTTATCCTCTTGCAGAATTAAACTTTGCTATAAAAGCAGGGATCTGCCCCCTAATTCATGCACCTTCCACCTGGTGCTGAGATACCCAACACAGTGCTTATATTAGAAACACCACCATAACCCTCATAAGAACGAGTTAGGACGAGATGAATAGATCAGATAAATAAATAAATAGAGCTGATAAAGTAGCAGTGGGAATTTCAGGGAGTACAAAACAATTAAAGAGCTTTAGGTAAGCTATATGTTGGTAAAATGCTTTATCTTTTATAAAAACAGTCAAAACTGAAAGGACTATAAAAAGCAGGGAAAGGGTAAGGAAGAACTTTGATGCAAATGTGAGAAGAGATCAAAATCACAGTCTTGGGTGAATATTCAGTGTAATTATTTTCAAAAGGAGAATTGGTTCATATGCTAGAACAGAAATGCATTAATGCCTACGGTAATATTTTCCCACTCTAGATGCTGCAATATGAATGTTAACACAATTGATGAAGATATAAATACAGCTGGCATAATCTGCCAGCAATATATCTTCAAATACATGTGGGAAATGGAAATGGCAAACTGCTGGGTTAGCTCAGAGAGAACAAAGCTTTGTTGAAAGGAGTGCAGAACATACCTGTTATAATCCTTCTCACCTTGGTTCTACAAAAATAGAACATGCCTAAATATAACAAAAATAGAGAATGGAAAAAGTGTTGGAGCACAGATTAATCTACCCTGAGTTCACTGCTCCTCGGGTGTACTCTGACCTCACACATCACAGCACAGAGCTACTCTCACAAGTTCAGGAGGAGGAGGTGTAGGAAGCAAGGCCTGCTTGAAGGTAAGAACAAACAGTCCAACACTGCAGTTCCAATGAGTGTGAATGAAATGCCCAAAAATATTACACAAAGAGGGTAAAAGTACTTTTCATGTAATTCCTGAGTTCAAGCTAAAAAGAACAATACAAAGAGAAGAGCTGGGCTTTTCAGAAAATGCTTTGTCTGTGTCACTGGAACCATCTAAAATGAGTGTGTTTAATCTGGTCAGACCATGAGGCCTTCAGTGACGAGTTAGGAAACTTGTTCTGTGGCCTCTGTCTAGAGCCTCTTGATCCAGGGCTGCAGAACATGGGGAGGGTGAGGCAGAAAAATGCTCAGCACCACATTTCCAAGTGATTCCTCTTTTGGGCTTCCTTCCTTCAGGGTTGTGCTTTGAGGTGACTCTTGTCTTTCTTCAGGGTGTGACCAGACAGCACCAGCTGCTGAAACCAGCGGGAGGTTGTGATGTGCTGCCCTTTTTTCCTTCAGCAAGAGCTGTTCGTGGTACTTCTGTGTTGGCTGGCATTTGCCACATCAGCACCACTTTTGGCAGCCTGGTGAAGAGGCCCCTTCTTTCTGGGTTGCCCCAGCTCATATTCTTCATAATCAGGGTTCTTGTTGGGCTGGCTGGTGCAGCAGCTGCCAGCATCACAAAATTTCACAGGGTGGCTCTGCAACAACAATTCCCAACATAAAGAAAACAGCACTTGCTGCTTCATCCAACCACAAGGAGAATTTTCAACAGAGATCCTCGCTATTGGGTTTTTTAGTTTGACACAGCACAATAGGGATAGTGATGATAGATCAGCAGATCTGGAGGAGGATTGTCTTTCTGGGTTGCCATCACCCACCCGAGCGAAACCAAATCGACACCTCACGAGTTGTTTGAACACCGACGCAGTCCTGCGGGCACACACCCACCACAGCAAAGCAGCAATTTTTAATTGACTCCAGAAAGTACATCCTCTGGTCACAGGACTTATTACCTTGAAGTGGACAATAGGAATCTAGTTTTAGCCCCTCAGAATCTAATCCGGAAATATGGGTGGGTGGCAGAAACCCAGATCGGTTTGGGATGACACCCCCAGTTCTCTCTTCTGAATGGAGGGTGCCAGAGGTTAAGTGTCTGTCTTTACCTCAACAATACTGTCTTGAGGGTGCTGCAAATTCACTTTTAGAAGTTTCTTTAGCAAGGTAACGTGGCTCATCAACATAGGACATGCATCACCTGTGCAGCATTAAAAATGAGCATTGTCAGCTGGCATAAATTACTTGGAGAACTGAAGACAAACACAGCATAGATTTTCCTCCTCCAGCCCTTTCAGCCTTCTGAAATGAAGGTGCTGAGCCCAGCTTGATGAAGGGAATTTGCCAGGCATCTGACCTGGCAATCTAAACTAAATTAACACATATAGAGAGATTTAAACAAATTAATAATCCAACTAATGTCCAATGAGTGTTTTGCTGTCTCATTTCAAATTGGAATCCAAAGCTGCAGAAAGAAGCTCAATTGCAGATAAAGCAGATAGAAAACCCCAACAAGGATATGTGGGGAGTTGGCAAACACAAGAGTGCCCATGCTCTGAAGGTTTTAATATCATGTTATCCAGAACCAACTCTGAACTCCTGAGCACACTTCAGCATTCTCCATTCTTTGATCAGTAAAGAGTGACAAGAATCACAAGAGCCTTTCCTACCTTCCAGTTTCTTATTCTATCATAAACTTTCCTGATGCACAGCTCACATCAGCCTATGGATCAATAAGCAGTCACAGAGCATGGAACAAAGAGATCTTTTAAATCTGACAACGGAAAGCTGGCAGTGCAGACAAAAATCATTATATTAAAGTGTAAGACATACTAAACCACACAGTGGTATTAATATCCAACCTCTGATAACAACACCCAGATGCCTTCTGTCTCAGACATGTTGTGGGGACTCAAAGTGCTTTATTATTCTTGACTGGTTTACTTGAGTGATCTCTAAGTCCTGTTCTCCTTCATTTAGATAAATAATCTGCATGGGAATTTGCTAAGCTGAAGAGACAGAAGGTCAGTTCCAAGGGTGGCAGATATTCATAGATCACTCTGTCATTGCTATTCAAAATTTGTTCTATAGTTGGTTGCCTGTTCAAGTACTAAAAGAGGAAAGTGTTTAAGAGGATATATCTGGTGTAAAAGCCATCAGCTCAGCCCTCTGCTTGCTGCCATCTCCAGGTCCTCATTCAGATTGTAGAGATCTAAAGAAAAATCCATTTTCCTCCTTCCTTTCTCTTTGGGTTCAGTCTCTGTCACTCTGCTTTGCCATCTTGATGCCAACAAACCAGCCCAAAGCAAGCTTTTAAATGATTCCACTCTCTCCTGCACATCCTACTGCAAGCTAAGTTTGGCAGACTCCGAGTGCCTTTAATCAGAGTTCCCAAGATCGTGCGATCATTTGCTTCCCGTTCACCACAATCTCATTTGTATGCTCTGAAGGCAGTGAGTCACTCAGAAAAACACACTGGGATGTGTTCTGCTTTCTCCTTTTCTTTGCACAGACATGAGATGCCCATTTTCCTGTGCTGAATGGTTCCACGGTCTGTGGCCAGGACGTGTTTTAGTGGCCAGCTCAGCCTCTGACACCTGCGGGTCAGTTAGGTTTTGTTTGAGAGTTTTCCTAACTCTTTCCAGGATCAGAGGTTTTTCCTAGCCCTCGGGATAGAGGTTATTTTACATCTACTCTTGGTGGCATAGAAGCTCTGTGACAGCTTTGTGCTCAGAGCTGACCTTTTTACCTGTGTAAGCTAAACACTTTCACCTTGTGATTTGAATTGCACATCTGTTGTGCTATAGCAATTTTACCCCAGTAGAAACCAGTATAGCTGAATAGACAGTTCTGTTGTCCACTGCATGAGAGAAACAGTTATTCTGGGAGGCTCTGTTCCCAAGCTTTCCTTATTTCTCTTAGTTCCTGAAGGATTAATAAGGCTAAAATATTATTCAAACTTGCCATTTGTCTCTCCCACAGATGCAGGCCTGAATGCACAACCTTTTTGAGTAAAGAATGCCAATTTACACTTTTTTTTTTCAGAGCACTACTACTCACTCTTCAGAGAGCATTGAGGAATGTTTGCACTTACATGGTGGAATTAAATTTTGGGAAGTGAACATTGTTCTTTATTAGCACAGTGAAATCTTCAGAACTCCTCAGAACAGCTGGCCTAAAACATCAAATTAACTAACTTCTTTTACTTAAATACATAAGTTAATGTTATGCTATTTTACTATTACCTGGAAAGCTGTCAGTGGGAGGAATATGTTGCTAAGAATAACACTGAAATACAGGGAGTTAGGTGGCTCAGGGGAGCAAGAAAGACATGGGTGGTTTTCTTAGTTTTAGGTATAAATTGCAC